TTTACGATCTTTCTGAACCACTGCAGTGGTTAATTTAGTAACAAGATTGTTAAGCAAATCGGGTTTTTTCATTGACTTTGCTTGTCTGAAGTTCGCAAAAGGACACTGCAACTGTCATAAGTACAAGTCAGTTGCCAAGCCTCTGAATTTTGATCACGTGACCACGGGGGATGCTGCAACTGCCCATCAAAAGGCTTTGGCTGTGGATTTATCAGGCCAGCCTGGTTTAAGTCATATAGCAAACCATGCAGGCTTTTGGCTGTGAATTTCCTGTCCCCTTGGCCAAGTGTGATACAAGGAATTTGTCTCTGGTGCATAAGCTCTCACTGTGCATGCAAAACAACACAATCATCATCATCATCTTCATAATAGCAAAGGATAACAATCATAATAGTGACACCAGTAGAGAAGGTAGTGGAACCGATGAGCAGATAAAAGTAACATAGCCATACTAGGTGGGTAATATGCTTAGCTCTAAGACAGAACCGTGGAAATTGTGTGTTGCGCAGAGTGAGGGCAGGAGGAAGGAAACTGTCTTTGTGTCTCGTTTTTGGCATCCGATGCCCTGTAGAGGGGATGACTTGAAACAGTTTGTGCCCAGGATGCGAGGAATCAGTAGATATTTTCTCAGCCTTCTCTCTGACCCAAATGCATATTTGTTACCTATTTTTATTTTTAAAGAAAATATTAAAAATATATAGGATCGAAGCAACGAGCTAAGAGCAAGAAAGGTGAAGAAAGAGACCATGGTGCTAATTCTGCCCTCACGAGACCAAGCTTTAGAAACGAGTGCATGCAAAGCAAGAGTTAGGAAGACCGCAACGGACAGCAAATGCCAGCTCTGCAAAGAAGCTGAAGAAACAGTGGACCACCTGGTGACTTCTGCAAGAAAATTGCCCAGAGTGACTACAGCAGAGGTCCCCAATCTTTTGGGCACCAGGGACCGGTTCCATGGAGAAAGGTTTTTCCACGGACCAGAGGGTGCATGATGTTGTGTTGCCTGCATCTCGCGGATGGGCCTTTGCTTGTTTGTGTGGGCCGGTTGCTGGCATGCCATGGCCCGCTATTGGTCCATGGACCGGGGGTTGGGGACCCCCTGGACTACAGGCTACGCGGCATGACAAAATAGCAACAATGGTACCGTGGAGGATCTGAAAGAAATAATGTTTGCCTGCAAGCAAGAATTGATGGGACCCCAAACAGCCAAAATAATAGAAAACCAGGAAACTAAATTGCTCTGGGACTTTAGAATTCAATCAGAATGGAGCCTGCCACATAACACCCATGAACAATGCTTTATATACATCAAATAGCCAACAGAAAGATAGTGAAATGCTCAAGAATTACAAGTCAGACCTACACCTCGAGTATTACTTTCCACACCTACTATTTTATTGCTAAGAATAGTTGATTTTGACTTCACAGCCCTGAACTACGTGCTCCGAGTAGAATAAATTAAGGATCACATGTTTTTTACTTTCTAATGGCAGAAGTTCTGGCTCAAACTTGCTTGGATAAAAGGAAATATTACGGCTCTCTCTTTGTTCATAGCTATTCAGGATGGAATATGTAGGCATTTTAAAGTTCCTTAGGTCAGGGGTCTCCAACCTTGGTAACTTTAAGACTTGTGGACTTCAACTCCCAGAATTCCTCAGCCAGCTTGGTTGGGGGCCTCTGCCTTGGGTGAGACCCAATACATCAATGCATGTTAATATGTTCCAAATTGTTTCCTTTTTCCTAGCGTTCCCATTCATTCACATCACTATCCTCCTAGCCAAGGTCCATCCACTGCAGAGTGAAGGCCTCTTCTGCCTGTTTCCCACCAAATTCTTCCTGGGCTTTTCTTTTGCCAGTTGCACCTGCCATACTTGGCTGACATTGTCGATCCATCTTGTTATAGGTCACTTTCGTGGATGCTTTTGATCGAGTGGGATCCGTTGTGTGACTGCCTTGGTCCACCTGCCCTAAGTCCTTCTTGCTATGAGAACATTTTCATTCTTTGACTCTCTTGATGGCTTTGTATACTTTCGTTTGGTCTCTAATCCATGTGTTGAGTCTTCTGTCTTATCTTGTGATGCCGAGTGTGTCTCTTTCCAAGGCACTCCTAGCTTTTGTACCAAGTTGTCCTTGAAATTTACGCTTAGCTTGCCAAATTCCTGCCAACCACATTTAACACATCGTTCAATTTCCTTTGTTGTATCACTTTCCACTGAGATCCGTTGGCCTAGGTATATGTGGGGGTCTACTATGTCGAGTTCTTCTCCAGATATAAAAAAATTATCTTTCTTTGGTGAATCTGGCTCATTTTCCAGGTTTATCCTTTTCATTGTAAGACAGTGTTTCTCAACCTTGACAATTTTAAGGCATGTGGAATTCTGGGAGTTGAGGTCCATATGCCTTAAAATTGTCAAGGTTGAGAAACACTATAAAGAGAACCTATATATGTAAACACTTCAAGTATTCAAAAAGAATAGGATTTTTTGTTGTTGTTTTGTCTTTCAAATACCTGTGGATGTGAAAGTGACCTACATCGTAAGGCTTATTGAATCAATACATTGAAACTCTTGTTGATCCATATGGTTTAAAATAATAGTTTTATGAATCTGACCACCTTAACTTATGTAAAACAACTGTTTTTTCCCCCTCTAAATCTTTGCAATATAAATAAACCATAAGAATTACACTGTGAAGTGCTGGGGAAATCGGGAGATTTAGGCAGCTCAAAGGAGTATAAAGATTTATGCCAAGCTTACAGTCCCTAAAGAACTTGGCCAACTAACAGCAGAGGGAAATGAGCAGGAGATAAGAAAGGCCTTCAAAGTGGGCTGAACTTAGATCTCTTGTGGGCACCAAAAGGATTCATGACTGATGACGCATTTGACCCTGCCGTTCCCTCGGGCTCAGCCTGGTCATCTCCTACATACACTCAGATAAAGGGATAATGAATCAAGCAGTTTGGAACCAGTTATGTACTTGAAGCGCAGAGAACATAGAGGGAACCATGGTTACTGAATGTGATGTAGGTTTGGCTATATTCATCTTTATAATATTTTGTGTTTGAATGTTTCTTTTTATATAGAAGAAAGAACCATGGCAGTAATTACTTTCCCTTTGAACTATGTAACAGAGAATGTTATTTTCAAATTTTCAAACTATTTTATATAAGAAATTGTGATAAACCTGAATTGCTACCAACAAGTAACCATGGGGTTTTCTGCTATTTTGCACCTTCACTCTAAGGTTTATTGACAAAGGGCTGCTCAAAATGCTTTGTGACCCATAACTGATGAAATATGCATATCGTGTCCCAGAAAGGGTGGCCTATTTATGTTCTAGCTTCATTGCTGTTAAAAAATACCTCCTTCATCGCATCTTTAGATTAAGAATCATGTTTATAGTTGCTTCCTGCATGCGGACCTGGTCGTCTTGCTCAGAAGAGTTTAATCAGAGTGGGTATCCTAGGAAATATCAAAAGGGCACCTCAGGAAATTGGCCTCAAAAGACTAAGTTCCTGGGTAGCTGGACACGGGGGGGGGGGAGAGTCAAAGGCCGGCTTGCCTTGTTGAGACGGCCTTTCACTATGAGGGATTCCTTGTGGCAAATTTCACCGTTGAAATTAATAGCTTTTGGGCAGGTGACTGTAGTCAGTGCCTCTCCTTCTCTTACACAAATTGGTGACTATTGTACAGGTTGTAGGCTGAAACAGTTTCTCCATTGGAATACGGCTAGTCCTCAACTTTCAACAGTTCATTTAGTGACCGTTTGAAGTGACAACGTCCCTGAAAAAAGGGACTTAGGACCATTTTTCACACTTACGACCCTTGCAGCATTCCCATGGTCACGGGATCCAAATTGAGCCACTTGGCAACTGACTCGTATTTATGACAGTTGCAGAGTCGAGTCCTGGCCTCATGTGATCCCCTTTTGTGACCTTCTGACGATCAAATTAATGGGGCAGCAGATTAATTTAACAACCGTATGACTAGTGTAACATCTGCAGTGATTCACTAACAACAGTGGCAAGAAAAGTCATAAAACAGGGCAAAACTCACTGGCTTCTCTCCACTTCCTGCATGTCATAATGCCAGAGATTTTATTGGTGTTCTGCGTCTGGAAAACTCTCAGGGCTCTGCTTTGATTTGCTGCAGCTCCTGTCCGTTCAGTTGGCCCTCCTTCTAATTGTGCAAGTTGAATTACAGGGCATAAAAGCTATTGTGGTGAGATTATGCACCCCGCACCGAGAAAAACTTAAGTTTTTAAAACTTCTATCTGAACATTTAACTCTCCTGTTCTTTCCAGTATTAGTGTATAAATGGCAACCACAACAGGACAGTAACACAACTGGACAGATCAGCTGATAAAGGAATTAAAGAAACACAAACACAAGCTGCCCTCAACTTTTTTCGAGCTGATCGATACTTTAGGTTTGATCGACGTTGGGAGGAGTAAAAATGGACTAACTGAAGACTTCAGCTTCTTTTCAGAGAGACATAAATACTTTTCTAGAATTGATGTGATTTGGGTTACAAAAAAAATCTGCTTCACAAAGGAATTAAAGCCATTGTTCTTCCCAAAAAACTTCTTTCTGACCATAATCCAGTGTCTTTACATCTTAAATTTGGTCCTCAGTTGGCCGTCCTTCTTTGAAGCAGCCTCAGTTGTGACGGTTCTCTTTGTGTCAAGTTACTTTCTCCTTCTGCTGCCAGAATTACTTGTTGGTATATGGAAGAGAACAAAGGAGTTGGAATTTAACAACACATTTATGGGGCGTTTTACATTCCCACGTATAAATAAAATATGAAATTAGCCTTGCTCTTGGAACTTAATGTTTCCTAGTGTGGCCCCTGTCATTAAGGCTCTGTCTTCAAGGCATGAGAAGTTCCTGCTAAGATGACCAGTTTAGATATCCTTCAGTAGGCTTCTTTTTTTAAAAGAAATAATTATTTGACTGGTAACCCTGTCTTTCCTTTTCTTTTTTTTCCCTTTTTTTTCCCATTAAGGAGGCTAAATAGAAATAATCTTCAACTTCTCTCTGAGTTGCTGTTTCTCGGGACACCCAAACTCTACAGACTGTAAGTAGATTTATTTTCTCATCAGTTTTGGAAGCTTTTGGTATATTCCTTTGAGCTTCTACTTTACGAATTAAATTTTGTGGAGTAAAATTTTAAAAATGTGTCCCACTCAGAACACCGTGGTTGTTCTTTTTCCTTCCTGATCATGTGTATATTTGCTCCAATAGTTGCAGCTGAGTGATATCTATTTTGAATCTGACTTAGAGAAAAGCTGGAGTTTTCTCATTTACTGCTTTTTTAATGAAGGGGGGGAATAAATTCTGGAAAGAGAACCTGTTAGAACGTCTTGTGTTTGTATGGAATAGTTTAGAGAAAACACTGTTGATGTACTACTATTCTAATCCATAATGTGTTCCTTGAATTTGGGGATTATATGTATGTATGTATGTGTGTGTATATATATTATACAGGTAATCCTCGACTTACACCGGCTCCTTTAGCGACCGTTCAAAATTACAACAGCACTGAAAAAGTGACTTAGGACCATGTTTCATACTTACGACCACTGCACCTTCTCCAGGGTCATGTGGTCAAAATTCAGACAACTTGGCAATTGACTCATATTCATGACCGTCGCTCTGCCCCAGAGTCATGTGACACCTGCCCCTTTTTGTGACTTTCCGACAAACAGAGTCCACGGGAAAGCCAGATTCATTTCAGTAACCATGTTACTAACTTAACTGCAGTGATTCACTTAACAACTGTGATAAGAAAGGTCGTAAGATGGGGCAAAACTCACTTAACCAACGTCTCGTTTAGCAACAGAAAATTTGGGCTCAGTTGTGGTTGTGAGTCGAGGACCACATGTATACATATATATATACACCTTAACAAAATGTTTGGGATAATGAGATGCATGAGTTCCATAGAAGGGAGAAGCCAGCATGTCTACGATGCGCCTTGTCTATCGGTGTCAGATATTTGGATACAGTTAGTGATGTTGGTGTTAATATCATTGCACGGATATCCGTTTAGCCTCCTCATGGTTTGTTCGGAGGCCCCAGTCAAACGGTGTTGTGTTTGATTACAATCCATCAATTGCAAAGTGGGCACCAAAAGTCTCTGCCCTGTTTCCCGGGGCCCAGGGTTTCTTGGCCACCAGGCCAGGGGTAGGCAACCTTGGCTCTTTTATGACTCGTGGACTTCAACTCCCAGAATTCCTGAGCCAGCCTGGCTCAGCTTGGAAATCTCTCCTTTCCCCTCAGCGTGGCTGGCTCAGGAATTCTGGGAGTTGAAGTCCACCAGTCATAAAAGAGCCGAGGTTGCCTACCCCTGCGCTAGGTTGAGCTAGGAAACCTTCTTGCAGTGTAAAAGTTCATGTCTGAAACTGAGACACACCTCTGAAGAACTTTTGTGGTGGTGGTTTGATGCTCAGAAGAAAGAACAACAGAAGAGACAAAACTCCCACAGAATTTATGTATATCGACATGAGTCAAATACATACATGTTCATGCATGGGCCCAAACCTCTTTCAATCCTCACAGAATAACATATAAACTTTATTGGGATACCTACCAAACTTTCCCTGAGCAAAGTAGATAAATTTAATAAAAAGTTGTGATGAAATAGACATCTGTCATCAAAATGGAGTGTCTCTGATGTTTAAAAGTGATACGTTTTGACTGCATGGATGTATTTTCAAGGAACACTAAACAAATCTGATGAATTACTCACTTTAGTATTACATAGCTCCATATTGCAATATGGGCAACAATTATAGGTGGAATCCATCTTTTAATTTTTCTCTATTAAACACAAGGTTTCATTGTTTGTGATATTCTTAGGATCTGTTATAATTATTTTGTTGAAATATTGAAAATGCATGCTAGAGTATGCATCCCCATTAAGGTATCAATTGTGATATCAGAAAGTAAGTTCAAAAGTGGTACTTTTATTATTAGTCTGGTTTTATTATATACTCTGCTGTTGATTGTATTTTGAGTTTCTTAAGTCACTTTGCCCAGATTTGCCCAGAAATGGCATTAAAAACTATGAAATGAATACAATGAAATTGAAATAGTAAAGATAAATTAAACAGTGTTTGTTTTTAAAATCTGGTATCCCACATTTAGCATTTTAAATCTGTAGGTTTCTACAAAGTATTTTTACTTTTTTTTTTTTTGCTTTAAGATATGGTGTTAATGTCTTTCTAAATGAATTAAAGCTTTTTTTTTTTTTTTAAAAAATACTTTGTTCTAACAGCTTTGGGACTTGTTAGCAAAAATGGACATTTTAGTGGATCTATGATCCATGGATGTAAAAGCGAAAACAAATTTTGTTCAATGTACATATTTATACATTTTCTTTATCTACAGAATAAACCAAATTTCTGCTTGTGCAGAATTCCAGAAAAGGATTGATGTAATTATAAAGCTTATGAAACTAATGATTTTTATGAAAGAGAGGAAGTTTCATTTATATATATATTTGTAAATTAAGTGGCACTTTAAGGGAATGTTTTAGTAGTATCATATAATTTTAAATAGCCAAAAACTATAGGCGCTTTGGTGTTATAGTTTCATGAATATATCAGCATTTCCAATGTGAAATTAATATGTGTAGGAAATTATAAGATAAATAAAGCCTAAGGCTTATTGTAAGCTAATCTATCATGGTAAACGTCTTGAAGCCTTGTATTAGCACAACTTAATAAATATAATAATTTACCTGTAATCCTAGAGACATGTTTTTTTCTCAGATGATTTGAGAATGTTTGTATTTTAGATCACATTCAGTTGTTTACAATGGCAGCAATTGTATTCAGTTAATCAACATTTCTCTGCTACTTTGTATACAGTAAGCCTTTGGAAGTTATTAAAGCTTGTCAGTGTGTTTCTCAGGAATAAATTATCTGACATTTACAATTAAGGGATAACTTGCTAGAGAAAGGAGCTCTTATGCTTGTTGTTTAGTGGAAATAACAGTATTGAGAGAATGCACTATGTAATAGAGGAATATTAGACAGGGTTAGATGGTGCCAGCAGCTCTGTATACTGTATATGTTTCTTTGCTGTCTTCCCCACTTTTTCTTTGGCTGACTTAAGATCAAACTATGCTCAGGTCAAAATGTTTCTCTAGAACAATTGGAACTTGTTTTGGGCCAGGGGACCAATTTAAATAGCACTATTATTTATCTGTCCCAGTAACAGAACCCTGTAAAATAGAATCAACTCTACTTATATAATGCTGTAGAGCAGAAACATAAAACCACAGGCAGTTGGTGGCTAACAAAAAGTTGTAAGTTCAATGTTTTAATATTTTAGCCTCTCCAAATATTCTCGCTGGAGGCAGCCGCTGCATTTCGTATTTTATTTAAAAACTTCATAGTTAAAAAAGATTTCCTCTAGAAATACTTTTTGTGAGAGGCTAAAATTGACACTGCAGCTTAATGGCCAACTCCGCTACAAAGAGAGTTGGAAATGTTTAAATGGCTTTGGTGCTTTTTATTCGGTGCCTGTTTGAAGAGCATTGAGGCAGTGCATAATGGCTTCTGGGTTCTTGCCTCTTGTTCAACAAGTATTTTGCTGGAATAACCGGTGTTATCTCTGGCGACTCACGGCAAACGCATTGGCCAAGAACCTTTAATTCAGGAAACCATTATAGCTTCCTGGGTGCTTATCTGAGGCAAATAGGTTCTGACTGCTTAATTTGACCGGTTAGATCACAGTTCATCAATTGCCTTTTGCTGCAGGAAAGAGATTTGGCGAGCAAAATGAACATTTAAAAAAAAAATCTCTAGGTCCTGTATTCGTAAATGCAAGAACTACAAAATAGATAGTTAAAATAGCTTATTTAAGAGTTAACTGGTTTCCTTTCACTTGACTTTACAGTTTTTAATCACTCTAAAAAATATTAGCAGGAGAGGGTTTGCAGCTTATTTGGGTATGGATGGGTCCCTGCTGAAGCCTGTCTAAGGCTCTGCCTGTTAAATACTGGCTCCAGCAATTTGTTGTGTGAATTGCTGCAAAGTAGCAACACTTGCTACAAAGCAGCAAATAAAATTCAAACTGGTCCTTTATGGGCCCTCACCCCAAGATCTATCTATGCTAGGTTTAGACCAGGGGTCTGCAACCTTGACCACTTTAAGACTTGTGGACTTCAGCTCCCAGAATTCCTCAGCCAGCCTGGTTCAGCTTGGAAACCTCTCCCTTTCCCCTCAGCATGGCCGGCTCAGGAATTCTGGGAGTTGAAGTCCAGGAGTCATAAAAGAGCCAAGGTTGCCTACCCTGGGACTAGAGGAACATATGAAAGCATAATTAATGTTAATTAATGTAGACTTTATTAGTTCAGAGCAAGGGTAGGCTACCTTCGCTCTTTTATGACTGGTGGACTTCAACTCCCAGAATTCCTGAGCCAGCATGGGGGAACTATGGCCCCTTCATGACTCGTGGACTTCAACTCCCAGAATTCCTGAGCCAGCCATGCTGAGGGGAAAGGGAGAGGTTTCCAAACAGAGCCAAACTGGCTCAGGAATTCTGGGAGTTGAAGTCCACCAGTCATAAAAGCCAAGGTTGCCTACCCCTGACCTAGAGGAACATATGAAAGCATAATTAATGTTAATTAATGTAGACTTTATTAGTTTAGACCAGGGGTCTGCAACCTTGACCACTTTAAGACTTGTGGACTTCAGCTCCCAGAATTCCTCAGCCAGCATAGCTGATGGTGAAGTTTAAGACCTCAAACCTTTCTACAGCAGATTCATGGATCCATCTTTCAATATGCCTAAATACTTCAGTTGTATACTTGTGCTCTGACTCTGCTACACTTAAACTCTTTGGCGGAAAGACTCAGTAATAACCCCCAAACCAGAATATGCATCTATTCAGACATTGGAATTGGGTTGGTGGCCCATGTGTACTTGATATGCTTTATCTGTCATCCTTAGAAGGTGGAGTTAATTATCACAACCAACAGGCAATTGCGTATTTCCTATTGAACGGGGTCTTCAAACTAGGCCCTTTTATGACTGGTGGACCTCAACTCCCAGAATTCCTCACTGA